TATCCTTTGTCCGGCAACGTAGTACACACCAAACCCACTGGCTTCCACAATGCTGTTTCTTCCAGATCTGCTTCATAGAAAAAGGAAGGCAGAGGAGAATTTGTAAAAGATCTTTAGCATGCAACCATAATTACTGCACCTTGGCACACAGAGAATCCAGCATAGCCTGCTCAGCAAGACATCCCTCTCCCTTTCTAGAAGTGACACCAAAAACTGATGTCATGCATACCACATTCTTAGCATTTAATTTGATTAACTCAGGAAAGCCAACTTGACCAAGTTAATTCTCTAGCTAATGTGCAAACAGACTCCTGTGAAGCGTTTCCTCAAGACAAGCACCAGTGATGGACACTGCAGGCTGTATCTGAAGTCTACACAATGATTTCTGCAATGATGAACCTCTCTGGAGGTCATCCATAATTCTGAGCACAAAGACAAGGGAATAGAACTGCAGATGGCAAATGCCCCAGCTGCCCAGCCAGAGGAGGAGCTGCCAGATTGCTCACATTCTGTTTCCCAGCCCACTGTCCAAGGCAAGGAGCTAGCAAGAGCTCTTGAAAGTTAGGCAGTGTCAGCAGGTATGGAGGAGAGCTGTCCTCCTCTCAGCTCCTTCCTAATGGTGTGCCTGACTGGGAATTCAGTCATCATAAGGCTTCATCAACAGAAGGAGAAAGTGAGGCACTCCCTGGGACAATTCCAAAGCCAGATGAACTGAACTGCCCTTGGGTGGCAGCTACTTCTCCACTCTGAATAAACAGGGAGCCTATGGTAACTAAACACCAAGCAGAAGCCTGGTGGGGAGAGCTTCTGCAGAAGTACAAAAAGGGATCAAAAAGGAGAGGAAACGAGAGAGACACTACAAGCAGCCAGTACTTCCACCACTACAGCTGCCTGCATTTGTTTTTACTTTGATTTTTCAGGTAGCATTTTGAAAATTAAAACAGCTAATTCCCTTTCTGCTAAGAACTAGCCATCTCCAGTTCACTGATACTAAATTTTGCCTTAGTGTAGAAGCACAGAATTAACGATACTCTTTATTTAATCGCCAGCTGTCTTCCATTCAATTGCAAAGAAATAAGAACTGGTAGCCATACTCAAAAGTTTTCTTGAAGTACAATGCAGCAAGCAACCCACACATGCCAGTAAAATCATACTCAGTACACTCAGGCTGCCAAGCAGAGAGATTTACATACTATATTTGGCAAGTGAAACTGATACTTCATTTAAGAAATGATCAGTCATTGCAATCCATAAAATGAATGTGTCAGAGCGTATTTGTGCAGAACAGTTCTCACTCCAGGAATTTGAAACACTTGGCACACCTACAGTTCACAACCACTACCCCCAAGACACCCACACACGTGTTCCATGCTGCTGGGTTAATCCCAAAGAAACACATACACTGGTAGCCACTCAGTGCATTTCTCACATGTGGCACAGAAAGGTGCACAAGCCTTACTGGAAGACTTTCTGATTACGCAAAATCACTGCTTGAGGTTCACTCCATAGGAAAAAAGAAAAAAGAAAAAAAAAAAAGAAAAGGCAGGGGAAACACTCTTTGACTTCACAGAGGTTTTCTTGGAAAATCCAGCCAACCTCAAATGCAGTCATAGAAACACAGAATCACTAAATCATTTGAGTTGGAAGGGACCCCTAAAGGTTGTTTAGTCCAACTCCCCTGCACTGAACAGGGACACCTACAGCTAGATGAAGTTGCTCAGAGCACCATCCAGTCTGACCTTGAATGTCTCCAGGGATGGGGAACGTTCTTGAGGTAAAGGCTCTTTTTCAGCTGAGAATCATTATAAGGGAATAATTGTAATTGAATTTGTTCACAATCTAGGAGCGTAATTAAGCAACCCCATAATCTGGCTCAGCCTTATATTTTTTGTAGCACTTCTGTAAGAAAAATCTTTTTCTGATCCTTCTGCAAACTTATTTGTGCCATTTCCTTCCTCTGGGAGTGCTCAGTTAGGTGAAGAAGCACACATTGTCATGGAATCCTGAGAATCCTCGGAGATCAGCACTACTGGACAATCTTCATTCAGCTGTTTCATTCCTAGTGTTGCCTAGATAAACTTCTACAATTACAGCACATCCAGGATCCGAAACTTGGATTGCACCAGACACAAAGAGTGACTGAAACATGCCCTGCCATGACTTACCTTGGCCATGAAGCATGAGTCATCTGATCCAGCTGTGCTCCACATTCATCCTGTATCTCTTGCAAGGCCTCTTCTGCCTCTTGCTCCTTTTATCAGGAAAGATGTTCTCCCCAGTCATTCAGGCTCCAGCTCTGCAGCCAGGTGTGTAGCATCTCCCACAAATAACACAGACCCTCTGCTGGTGAAGGTGCTGGGCATTTCCAGGCTCATGGAGAACTGCCCTGTAGGAGCTCCAAAAGCCTGTTGTGAAGGAGGGCCGTTGTCATAAACCCAGCCAGACACTACAAAGAACTAGTGGGAAGACTGCTGGTAATCACACGTGCTTCCAGGAATGAGCCTGCTGTATGGGATCTGAGTGGTTTTGACACGGAAATACATGGCATGTGGCATAAGACATCTAGAAGCAGAGATCAAACAAGCCAACTGCAGTGCCGGAGCTACTGCTGGTTATGAGGTGTGTGTCTGAGAAGCAGTGCTGATGCCTCAGAGCCTCATCATCTGCATCCAGACAGGTAGGGGCTCTGGAGGCTGTGCATGTTTCTTAAAGTGGGCTAATGCTCCAGGTGAATCACTGCCAAGCACTTTCATGCCTAAAGCATCACGCTGAATGCTTTTAGTCAAAGCAACCACACCTCGTCTGTTGTATCCTCAAAGTTCCTTCCTGCTATCATAGAAACCAGATTGTGTTTTCCTGGGAAATTGAACTATTTTCTGTCACAAAAATCTTGGCAGTCTTAGACCTAGCAAGGAAACAATGCGCTGCTGCTGCTGAATCTTCACGCTATTCTAGATCTATGTTATGGGAAATCAGAAGAACTCCATAGTTGGAAGGAACTTCCATTTTCCTACTTTTAGTTGCTAGAGAAAGGCTTCTGCCTGAATACCTCTGGTTTAGTATCTTAGATACTTTGTCATCACACTCTGATGGATATCCCTGATGCTTTTTTTGTGGCAGATGCTTGGTATAAGAGGAGGCTATGCTCTGCATAAGGAGGCATGCCTTACCATAGAAAAGTAAGGCATGCTGGGGAGAACAGGAGAGTGCGGATCTTTGGACTCTCAGGAGGAATCCTAATACAATCATAAGTTGCCACCTCCACCACTGAATTTTCCCAAGGGTGCATCATTTTTATTTTCCTTTTGGAACTTTGTTATTTGAATAGTCTGATTTTACAAAAACATGGTGGACATGGTGGTGATAGGTTGACAGTAGGACTAGATGATCTTAGAGATCTTTTCCAACCTTAATGACTCTATGCTCACAAGAAAAGCATGTTCGCTCAAGACTGTGGTTCCAACAAGTCCCAGTACTGAAAAAAGTCATGAAAATCATAGAATCATAGAGTTGGATCTCAGGTTGGAAGACACCTTAAAGATCACTGAGTCCAACCACAACCTAACCAAACTACCCTATCTAACAACTCTCTGCTAAATCATGTTCCTGAGCACCACTTCAAAACAGTTTTTAAACACACCCAGGGATGGTGATTCAATCACTTCCCAGGGGAGCCTGTTCCAGTGCTATTTCTGCCCCCTTTTTCCAAACAACCCCCTTTTCAAGTCATGCACGGGTTGCCTAGAAAGACTTCTGCAATTATAGCACATCTAAGACCTGAAACTTGGATTGTACCTGAAAAAAAGAGTAACAGAAGCAAGCTCAGCTTCTGAATAACAAGCACAGAAACCACAGAGGTAAAACATCACACAGCCACTTTTACTATAATCATACGCCTAAGGGGAAAATTCTGGGGCAGCTTCCTGATGATTCAGTGTGTCATTAGCTGCCCTTGAGAATTTTTGAGAACCACAGGATATGTCTGTCCCTACATTTTTGAAGTATCTGTATCAGCAAGTGGGGAAAAAAGTAAACTCAGAAAACGGTGAAAGAAAAAACAGGAAAAACAGGAAAAACCTTGCATTTGATTCTTCTGCAAACTGGTCACACTTTCACACAGATAACCTTTATTTCATTTTCTTTCACTGACCATAAACCAAAAGAAACAGATGTTGATTCAGTTTTTTCCTACCCACTGTTGCTGTCACCACTGCTGTGATGCATCGTCCACAACCTCACTGTACTCACATCTACTAGTTGGCCTCCAAAAACATTCAGCAAGCATCTATGAATATCAACGGGTGCCATTTTTTCTGCTCAGAGAAATTCAGTGACACACCTTTTCTTCACATGCACTTCAGTGTCAGACTCCATTCTGTCAGACTGCCCCTCTGCTACCATCTGTCACGCAGCAACAACATGGAGCAGAATATTGGTGGAAAGGTTCAAACTCTGCTGCCATACCAACATCCGCTTCCGACATCATGAAACAACATAATAAAATAGGAGGCATTACTTTTGGAGCAGCCTTCGTATTACCTGCGATGTAGCTCACTTGAAACAGACTTGTCTATTGATAGAAACCATCCAGCAATAGCACCTGCCCTTCCTGCAGTTGTTTTATCCACTCTTCTAAGAGTCACTCTTTTTCCTCGACTCCTTCATTAAACATCTGTCTTTCATCTTCTTGTTACAAGAAAATCCCCACAGTAAATTACTGTTGACACCCTCTAAAATGATGATACTGTGTAAGATTTGTTTATATTCTACATTATTTTTTGCAATCTCCTGAAAGAGAGCAGGAAAAAGGTAATATGTTTCACCAATTCATCCTAAGAAAAATCCAACATAGACTCTCAGAAACACAGCGGTAATAAATATGTAAACAAACAAGCTGTATTTGTTACATTTATTGACATATGATATTAAAATAAATATTAGAACCAATGGCTCCTATAACAAGATAAAACCATTTAAAACATGTTCCTATTGTTCCAGAAATTAAGCTGATTTTTTTCTGCCACACCAGTAGGAAGCAACTGCTATACAAACTAAAACATCGGCACCCTATGATTCTGTTTCAACAGATTCATGTGTAAGGCACAACAAAGAGATATTTGAAATGTTTTTCTCAAGAAAAACTCATAAATGTTTTCAGGCAAAACCTGAGAAGTTGTTAAAAACGATAAGGGGCAGAAACAGCACATCAGCATGGGCAGAAGAGATACTGTACATTTCTTCCCAAATAGCAGGCATGATCCAGCATTATTTTGCACACATTTCGATATCACCTTTTCAGCGTGAGTGCAATGACAAATACTGTGCCCTATCCTTGGCATAAAATAGAATATGACAGACTCCAAGCAAATTCAACAAAAGAGCAAAGAATACAGATACATATACTATGCATAGCATATGTGAGATTTATTTGATTAAAAAGAAGTAGAGAAATGCAGTGTTGGAAAGCTAAAAGTGACATGAAAAATAAAGTACTTTCTAGCCTTCTAAGATAAGTTTAGTATTCAGGGCAATTAGAACTAAATTAAATCTGAACTAGATTAGACTGAAACTCTTTGGAGCTCAGGATGTCTTGCAGACTGTTCTCCATCCCTGTTTAAAAAAAAAAAAAAAAAAGAAAATCAAATCTTTTAATTAAAAGATTTGACCTTCATTCTTCTTTGGGAGCAACTTTCAGTTTCTAAGGGATAATGAAAAGTAAGTGACTGGAACCAATGCCATCTCATACTCTGTGTCTAAGAGACCCAAGAGCCACAGGCAAGAATGGCATGCCTTAAGTGGAAGATAGCTGGAAGATGACAACATTGTATGACATGTCATAACTAAATATCTTCTAAGCAAGAAGGTAATTAAAGCACGATACAAGCATAGTGGCACACCTACCACTTCTTTAGCTTTATCACACTCTAGATACCAATATTTTCCATCTTCGTTTCAACCACATGGATTGATTTCATACTGAACAGTTTGATTTTTCCAAGAATGTTACTAAAGGACATTTTGCTTTGACCTCAGCAAATTCTTACCAGTTTTCCTTTGAGGCATGCCTGTTTGGAAGGGCTTGAAATTTCAGCAGGGGAAATTTTTTAATGCAATTGTATGGCAACTATCTGTGGAGAAAAAAAAAAAAAAATTAGCTTAGCTTCCAAAATATTGGTCAACCTTAAAAAAAAAAAAAAAAAAAAAGTCACAGGATGAATGCTGACTAAAGACTTGTTACAACTTCTATAAGAAAATATCCTGAAAATGCTGATAAGAGTGATAATCCTGTAGTGCTCTACTGGGCAGGATTTTTGCTCTGCAATAGTACGCCTGGAGCTGGCTTTGGCCAGGCAGCTGGAACTAATCCCAGGTACCTGGAGAACACAGAGATACTCACTCACTGGAAAGCCAAGTCAAAGACAAGGCCATACCTTTACCACATTCTGCCTGAATGTCACAGAACACATATTTCCATTTATTTTTTTTATGGTAGTTTAGCAAATGATTCAAGTTCACAAAGTCAGGCAGTCAGGATTTTGAAAATACTGAAGGTAAGGTTCTCCGTGCAAACAAATTTCAGATTTGTAAACAACATTATTATTTATTATCACTATTATAAATTATTATTAATATTTATTATTATTTTATTATTTATCAACAATATCAACGTTAGGAGCATGGCCAGCAGGTCCTCCCCTTCTACTCTGCCCTGGTGAGGCCTCACCTGGAGTACTGTGTCCAGTTCTGGGCTCCCCAATACAAAAAAGACAGCAGAGGGCCACAAAGATGATAAAGGGCCTGGAGCATCTCCCCTGTGAGGAAAGGCTGAGAGACCTATTCAGCCTTGAGAAAAGAAGACTGAGAGGAGATCTGATTAATGTTTTTAAGTATCTTAAGCATGGGAGTCAAGGAGATATGGCCAATCTCTTTTCAGCTGTCTATGGGGCAAGACAAAGGGAAACGGCCATAAACTGGAGCATAGGAAATTCCTCACCAATATTCAAAGGAACTTCTTCACAGGGAGGGTGACAGAGCACTGGAACAGGCTGGCCTAAGAGGTTGTGGATTCTCCATCTCTGGAGACATTCAAGACCCACCTGGACGCCTACCTGTGCATCCTGCTATAGGGAACCTGCTTTAGCAGAGGGGCTGGACTTGATCTGTGGAAATCCTTTCCAGCCCCTACAGTTCTGTAATTCTGTGATTACAGTACAGTTACCTGCATGCATGGCCTCATATGACCAAAGAATTTCAAGGAAGATTTAAAAACTCAAGTTCAACAGCATAATTCATGTTTTTAATACATACCATGGTAATCACTGATTATCTCTTTTAGCTTTTCCTCTTAACTGCTTGCTCTTGGCCCCTTAATTGTAGGCCAGAGTCTTTACTGTGATAAGCACAATCAATTTTCATCAAAGGGAACAGAAGTGCCAAATACACGACTTGTAATTCGTGCTTATGTTCACTACTTTCCTCTGATCACAGGAGGTGGTGCTTCCCCAGCAACGATCATCTCTCCATTCAAGCTCCTGTTGCAACAACCCAAAATTATACTGCTATCTTTGCTACTCCATCACTCTACAGAATCATAACTAATTTTCTACCTATATTGTGTGCATATATCCTTACACCTGCTCGCCAAAGATTTTCACCAACTGATTGAATCTCCCTTCTTCTTTTTTTTCTTCTGGGTTACTTAGTGCTTCTTTACGCTGACTCATGCTCTCATATTTTCCTTAATCTCTCGTAAATATTGGCAGTTCAAAATTTCAGTTCATTAATTAATGTCTTCTTTAATCTAAAGGTCCAAAAGTGTTCTTCCAGAGGTGAGTTGGAACAGGTTAGAATCACAGAATATCCCGAGTTGGAAGGGACCCATAAGGATCATCAAGTCCAACTCCTGGCTCCACACAGCAACACCCAAAATCCAAACCCTATGTCTGAGAGCATTTTCCAAATGCTCCTTGAACTCAGGCAGCTTGGGGCCATGCCCACTGCCCTAGGAAGCATGTTCCAGGGCCCAAACACCCTCTTCCTAACCCCAAACCTGACCCTCTCCTGACACAGCTCCATGCTGTTCCCTTGAGACCTGTCACTATCATCAGAGAACAGCAGATCAACTCCAGAAAGTTGTGACAAATGCATTATTTTACACACACACACACACACACACACACAAAAAAAAAAAAAAAAAAAAAAAAAAAAAAGCAAGAGATTTACAATATAAAGCATAGAATAAATGAAATTTAACATTCAAGGCATGCCTGGGGCATGCAAATCTTAGTAATTTGGAAAGGTACTGTCTGTAATTATGTGCTTACAGAATATGCTTCCTTCCAATAGACTTCCCAATTATAAGTCAACTAACATGCCAAACCAATTAATGTTCTGCCTAATGCACAAACAATTAGAAAATCGAGTTCTCCAGAGAGGTCTGTATTTCTATCAATAAAGCAAAAAGGGTTGAATTTTTACCATTCAGCAATCTCTTTTCTCCCACACATAGAGAGGCTGGGAGTTGTACAGCACTAAATCAGAATCAGCCAAATCTTCAGGCAAATCAGCATAAATACAGTAGTGATGTCTTTTCACAATGATTTTCATGATCTTTCATGGCTTCTGAATAATATCTGATAAAATGCCACACATAAAGCAGTGCAGCTAAGTTAGTCATGGTACATCAGAGAGCTTCCACTTTTTTTCTGTAGGAAAACAAAAATTTTGGCAGGAGCTAAGCAGGTACTGCACAATATCTTGCTCATTATCTCAGAAAAAAAAACCAACCAAACAAAAAAACCCTCTGTTTTCATTCTGCTTACTTCTGAAGCATGCTATTCAGTAAAAAAGGATAGTGGGTGACTAACAGAAATGTATCAAAATGGTTGTAGATCTGCCTGTTCCCATGCAACTTGGCAAGATGCTTCAAGCACAAAGAGTTGCCAAGTAAATAAAAACGTAATAAGACCTGCCAACATCCACTCATTCAAAACTACATTCTTTCATACTGAATTAATTTTAAGATTGTCAAGCTTTGCCCTGAAGGGATAAAGGGCACTTACTGTGGGTATTACGAGACATTGACAAAAATCTCACTGCTATTCATTCCCTGAGGAGCCTCAATTTGTGATTGAGGGAACTGCATTTCATCTAACAGCCCACACAACAGCAACACACTCATTTTGGAGTAATTCTCTTCATGATCATTTCTTGATTTTAAGAGTGACGCTCCCTTTCCAAGTCAGGAAAAGCATCGTCCATAGACCTGCATGCCTAGCATTGGCACATGGTTCTAGTGGTCTACGCTAACACAGGGAGTGTCAGAAAGCTTATTTACACTGCTCAAAGCCTCTGTGAAAAGGCTTTGTGCAGACCAACTTGTTAGACTGACACTTTTGACAAACTGTCGTTAAAAAAGCAACAATACCACTGAATTCATCCAGAAGTCTTTGCTGTAATCACGGAATTATAGAATATCCGTATTAATTATAAGACGGAAATTCTTCAATTAACCATTTCCTTTGTTTTTGGTGAAAGCAGATCCCCTGTGTTTTAGTGTCTCAGAGAGTAGTTATGTCCCTCCTTACCAACCCTTGCCATTATAAGCTAATTTGGAATCATAATTGAATATTTTCTCATTTTTTTCCAATTCAAACATCATGGGTTATTTTTGCATTTTTCTCCACCTCACTGTTAATGTATCAAATCATGTGGTCCTATGAACACTCATTTCATAAATGCTGGAAAGTTGTCTCCTAAATTGATAAAATCGGATGGTCTTGCATTGAACATAAAAGTCCATGTTTTTGATAAATGCAAATATATTTTTCTTCTGTGGAATTTGCAAGTTCAGCAGGTTAGCAGCACCTGGTACTCATGTTGTTCATTCAAACATCCATCTTGCCTTATGATAAGTCAGTGTGGGGTTTTATGAAATCCACGCCCCCCCAAAAAAGAAGTCTTCCACTTCTTCCACTCCACTGCTCTTCAGTAAAATGGTCAGTGAGCAAACCCCTGTTTGAGTAGTCACTCATATCCACAGGTTATCCCAGCCAAGTAGACTTCATTCTGTACGCTCTGGTGGTCTTTGGCAAGGTTAGTATGCACTGCTTTATCAGTCGTATGTGGTCTATCAGAAAATGACACCAGATACCCATAGAAATCTCCACAAACTCTGCTGAGTGGAGCAAAAGTCTCTCAGTCAGATATCTTGTGAGAGATATTTGACTTTCAGCAAGTAAATCTGGCAGAGAAGTCTGAGTTGCCACATTGCCAGCTCTAAATAATGCTCAAATCTTTTTGATAAATACAACAGCATTTTAAATCCTTAATGTACAGGATCTGCAGTATAACTTGCTTGTGAAGTCTCTCTACCTTGTCATCATGCTTGTTAACATCTAATGACTCTCGAAAGTTCTCACCCAAGAATTCTGTATCTCATTAGAGACTGATGGCACTCTTCCAGACTCCCAACACCCTCGTCACCTGGTACTCCTATCAGCTCTCCTCTAGGCATGGTTGTATCATCTTCATCAAGCCCAGCTGCACCTTTGCAATGCAGCAAATCAGCAGAAGCTATGTGCCAGAGCTTCTTGGAGTATTTTGTAAGAGTTAAGGAATACAATATAAATATATACATAAATAAATATATATATATAATATAATTGGATGCAATAATTGGATATAATAATTGGATGGGGCCCTTGGCAACCTGGTCTAGAACCAGATCTGGAGCTTGGTGCCCCTGCCTATGACAGGGTGGTTGGAACTTGATGATCCTCGGGGTCCCTTCCAACCCAAGCCATTCTATGATTCTATAAAGGGTTGAAAGAACATAATCTCTGTCATCACGTGGTTTACATGATCTGTAACTCCTACAAAAAAAAGCAAAAAAAACCCCACAATAAAACGGATGAGAGCAGTTTTCTCACAGAAACACTGCCAACACTAGTTGAGCACCCACTACAACAACAGCAGTACACCCAGAGCCCAAAGCCAAGTCTATTACTGAACAGGAACTCCTCCCTGCTCTGAGTACAAGAAATAGATGAATGAAGGATGCATGAATCCTGTCATCTCATTACAGACAGGATTGTAGTTCCTTACCTTACCCTGCATTTTGGCCAGCACAACACTCAGATGTTGCGTCCTCTTAACGGACAGCTTGCTCTGTGCCAAGATAGCTTCAGCCAGCCCCCACTGGAACATAGCTTGCTACTGACGTCAACTCACTCTGTTTGACTTTTGTTGAAAATCTGCCTTCACGAACTTTTCAATCTCTTCCAGGGCCTCTCAGGATATCAAGGCTGTTGTTTTTTGTGATTCATGGTCCATATGGACCATCAACAGGCACTTTACAAAGATAGTAGATCTGATACGCATGAACATCTTAAGGATTCTAGACATTCTATACCTAGTAACTAGGTTTGGATTTATTTTGCTTTATCTTCCTTTCAGACATGTATCTATTTCCCCTTAATCTCATTCTTTGCTTCTGAAAATTACCGTATATCAAACAGTCACCAAACACTTCCCATATAAATCAGTATCAGAAAATGTTTTGCAACAGCCAGAGACACCTTTCCTTATATTGCCTGTTATCCCACACCTCCTATTACTCTGGCATAAATGTTATAGCATTTCTCAGGCATTATAAAACCACTGTCTCCCAGCTCTCCCCCTTAATAATCCATTTGTTAGCAGAGATGTGAAGTTTAACAGACAATTCCATAAAGTTATTGCTTTCCAAGGATGTGAATTTCCAATTTTTTCATCTGCCAGCAGAGTTTTAAAACACCAATGAAGTTTCTTTGGATAAGCTACACGCTTCTTCAGACGAGGCTGTTACAAGAGGTCACTGTACTCTGACTTCTGCTATTTAATGAGCATCCTCCTTTCTTCCAAAACGTGAAATACTTTTCAGTAGTTGCACTGTCTTTTTCCTTAGTTTAATTGAGACAGACTGCAGAAGCTGGGCAACGTCCAAGAGCACCAGGACTGCTGTGTTTTGTGGCTGCATCTGTTTGAGCTCTTCTCAAGAGCGATTTCAAACCATCTTTGGAGCTGATACCTGCTTTGTTAGCACAGTTTCTGGCAGCTTCTTGCACTTCAGCTTTGAACTTGCCCCAAGTGAGAAGGAGCAACTGACTTGGCAGACTCTCTGATTACACTGCATTACTGACATTTCAAACTCCTTGAGATGCTTTCCAATACCTTAGCTAGTTTCTACCCATATGAAGCTTTTAATCAGATATCACCAAATTCTGGTAGTGTTTTAGGCTGAACAGCAATGATATGCTGGGTTCTTCTCAGCTTATTCTCAACTCGGTGGTGATTTCCCCTTCTGTGTTTTGGATACTCTGGAGAAATGTATTCAAACACATTCCAAGAGCACTGTTCTACCTGGCTTCGTTGATTTATCATACACACATGTAGAGAGACCTCCTTCCTCAGCTTTCTCTTACAGATTGCATGGAGTTGCTCCTACCTTCCCCTCCTGAGGGAGCTCCGACTGACTGTCTTTCAGCACTGGCCCAACAAAGATGATTTGGCAACTGTGTTTTGCATGCTTGCTTTTCTAATTCATCTTCACTTTGCATCTGTCTGAGCTTTCAGTCAGCTTGTTCTCCAGCTCTGCTCACAGATCTTCCATAATCATATCATGAAGAAGTTCCTATCTCTTTCTGAACAGACTGTGGGCTACTCCCTACTGTTGTGAAAGCCCACATCCCCAGGCACGGCCCAGCTGCACTGCCTACCCGGGGGCTGTCCAGCCATTCAACCAGGCCCCACCAGCTCACCAGGTCCCAAGCAGTTTGCCAGCATGCTACCAAGCAAGAAGCCCAGGAAGCTGGGCAACAGTCATAGCCTGAAGATATGCACATCATGAACCAAATACCCCAAGTTAACACGGGGCTTACTAACTATGCTTCAATCAGCCACATTCCAGGGCTTTATCCAAAGAAGGGTGGCTAGCAAGACAGGGGAGGCTGGAATACCTCCCCTACAAAGACAGCTGGGCTTGTTCAGCCTGGATTTTTGAAGGCTCTGGGGAGACCTCATTACAGTTCTAGAAGGGAGCTCATAAGCAAGAGGTAAATCAACTTCTGACATGGGTAGATAGTGATAGGACAATGGGGAACAGCTTTAAACTAAAAGAGGGGACATTTAGATTAAATGTTAGGGGAAACATTTGTAACTCAGAAGGCAGTGAGGCACTGGCATGGCTGCCCAAAGAAACTGTGGTACCCCATCCCTGGAGGCACCGAAGGCCAGGTTGGATGGGCCCTGGGCAGCCTGAGCTGGTGGGGGGCAACCCATTGGGGTAGCTGGAACTGGATGATCAAGGTCCCTTCTAACCCGAGTCATTGCATATCATAGAATAAGGTTGGAAAGAACCTACATCATCATCTGGGTCCTTTCCAACCTTGATTTGATGACAGCTGGAATTCAGGAATGCAGTCCACTGCAGTTCCTTGAGATAAGCTGTAACTTTGGCCTAATCATCAGAACAGCAGCACACCCTTGGGAGTATCAGAGTGGGACCCAAATAAAAACATGCACAGGAAGCAAGCAGGTGGGTTGGATGAGACACTGACATAAATACGTTCTACTCGCAGCTCAGACCCCAGGGAATACAAATTTGCTCGAGTGCTTCAAACACATGATTTACGCCACTATTTCAGAGCAGCGCCTTTATTCAGCCGCCTCCTAATCACTCCAGCCAGAGTCTCAGACCCGCCCCACTCCCGCCCCGACGTCACCCCGGGCCGAGACGCGCCCAGCAGGCGGGGGTTGGGTCACGTGACGTCACAGACCAGGCCAGCAGACGCCTCACGATCTCCCGCGCTTTCCCAACCCCCCCTTCTCCGCCGCTGCCCCTCCCTACCCGCACCGCCCGACCGCGCCTCTGACCAATCCTGCCGAGACCGTCAGGGGCGCCATCCAATCGGAACGCAGCTCGGGGCGTTTTCCAGCCTGTGCCTCCCGCCCCCGGCCCGAAGACGCAGCAATTAAAGGCTAGGAGTCACGCCCCCCGTTTTGGGACGTCGTCCGGACGCTCTTCCCCCGCCGCGCGAGTCACGGCTGGGACGTCACAGAAGAGTAAGCCAATGGGAGGCGAAGCCCCGCGCGTTCCAGCCAATGGGAGCGCAGGAGAGTACGGCCGGCCCCGGAGGGAGAAAGCGTGCCGGCTGCTCCTCCTCCTCCTCTCCCCCCTCCCCGGCTGGGCTGGCAGCGCGGCCGGCTTCCCCCGCCCCTCCCCGCCCGCCTCCCTGTCCCCGCCCGCCCGGCCTCCCTCTCTTTCCCTTTCGCAGCAATGGCGGCGACGGCGGCAGAGCAGGAGCAGCAGCAGTTCTACCTCCTGCTGGGCAACCTGCTCAGCCCGGACAATGCGGTCCGCAAGCAGGCCGAGGTAACGGCGCCGCCCCACCCCGCCGCCGGGCGCCGCGCCGGCTGTCAGCTCCCCGGGGGGAGCCGGGAGGGGGCAGGGAGGCGGCGGGGCCGGCCGTGCCCCACGTGTGAGCGGCGGCACGGCTGCCGGCGGCCTCGCGGCCGGGGGGTGGCGGCGATAGGGCCGGAGCGCTGGAAGGCCGCGGCCGGGCTTGGTTCCTCCGCCCGGCGGCTCCCGGGCTTCCCTGCTCGCCGCCAGGCAGCCGCCAACGCACCCCGCCCGGCGGGGAGCGGGACCTCCGGCTCGTCGAGCCGAGAGCTTGGGGGTTAACTCGGGTAAAAACCCCAGCGTTCCGTCAGCGGGGAAATATTTCACCCCGAGCGACGTTTTCTGCTATCAGCAGAAAGTTTTCCGACGCGCGATTCCGGCCGGGATGCTTTGTGGTGCTAAGCCACGTTAATTCTGTGTGTGTGTGCGCGTGTGTCACGCTTAAGGCTCTCCATTGTGGAACGCGGCGGAGAATCGCGCCCGCCGGATCGAATCGATGCGCCCGACACGGGGCGGTCAGGGGGGCCCGAGCTGTGACAAAGGGAGGGCTGATGGCTGATGTCCGCCCTGCCCGACCCACGGCGTGTGGGGCGGAGGAGAAGCCGCGCTTCAATATCTGTTGCTGCCGACGAGGAGCAGCAAGTGGTGTTCCCTCGTCTCTGAGTATGGGGGTGGAACAGAGGGCACTCTGCAGCAGCACCTGGATTTTCAATTTTCCTTTTTTTTGTGTGTATGTGTTGTTTCGACTGTGTGTAATACAGCATCTCTCACGACTTTCTGAACTATGCTAGCATGTGAGACGTTAGGTAAACTGAAGCAAGTTCTTTGGAAAGCTGTGCTGTGAGGCCTGTGAGATAACAACTACTCTTGGAAAATGAGGCTAAAGTGTTGACTTCTATCACTAGTGTTTTTGACCAAGAACTCGATTGGAACCACTCTGAAATTTGGTAGATCCACCCAGACAGAGGGCTCTGCCCATTTGGGTCCTGAAAGCCCCCAAGAAGGGTAAGATGGCACAGGACCCCTGAGCAGTCTGCTCCTGCTTGACTGCTCCATACAGCCCAGAATTGTAGAATCATTAAGCCTGGAAAAGACCATTTAGGTCAACCATCAACCCATCACCACCATGCCCACTAACCATGTCCCTAAAGAAGTGCCAGTGGATCAGGCCATGGGCAACCTGATCTAGCTGTGGTGTCCCTGCTCATTGCAAGGGAATTGGACTGGATGGCCCTCAGAGGTCCCTTCCAACTCTAAGGATTCTATGATTTCAATTCATGCCTGCTAAGAAGTCAACAAAAGGAGAAAGGAGAGTATTGCATCCAAATCAGAATATCTACTTGCAAAAATCATATAGGAGTCAATCTTTTATGTTAACCACCTGCATCATACAGTTTTCTACACTGTGCTATTGGAAAGCAGTATCAGATTGTACAGGGAGTCAAATAATTGGAGGTAAATAGAACAGCTGGCATTTGTGCCCACTGGAACGCAACAAGATGAGAAGTGGATGGGTGGGCAATTGAAGGATTCGTGCTTGGGCTGTTCGTTGATTTAGATGAGGGCTGCAATATGTGGAAGATTGGACTCAGAGGTGGAGATGTGTCATTCCCTGTTTAGTGGGCCAGAGCACAGGGAAAGCTGTAAAAATCAGAGCTGGGGGGAAAATCTAATCTGAACTATTAGTTGAATACTTATGTATATCCATTTGTGTGTGTGCTAGCTGTCCTGTATCTACCAGCACGTGGAGCAAGTTCTGCTGTGGGCTGCTCTTACCTACCTTACTCTTATGCTCTGAAGGGCATTCTCTGAAATCACTTTGCTGAACTGGCAGAGTGATCCCAGTTGGCTGCTAGGTGGGTTGCTGCCATTCCTAGCAAGTTCAAGTAACTCCAGAAAGACCATCATGTTTATCAGAATGGGTGCGAGCAGGGATTCAGGTGTCTGTGGAGCTGTGGCTTCAGATCCAGGCAGGGCTTTTACTTACAAAGCCTTCTTGTTGAAGTATTTCTTGTTAAATTGTTTATAAACAGCAGTGCAATGTAAACATACACGTTGGTGGAAATGGTTAACCTGCAAAGACTTTGTCTTGACCCTAAACCTCATTTAATTTTGCAGTCTCCATGAAATGATGAGATTAAATGCAGGCATTCATAAGGGATTCATCTCATTGATTGCAAGCGTATACTGGCATCTAGCATGATGTGCGAGCAGGCTCTGTGAATGAGGCCTGCTAGGAAACTGGTGCAGAAAGTGGAGGCAGATGATGTCTGATATGAAATGTTACAAGCTACTTCACTGAAAGCAGCAGGGGTAGTACTGAGGTGCTGCAAACTTACTGGAGTGTTGGTAAGAACCGGTGCAATGGTGAATGTGGGGAAGCAGGCAGACGTGGAACTGAATGAAATGAACCATGACTTGTATAGAAGGCTTGTGCACTGAGTTCAGGCTGGTGTAGTGATTGTTTAGAGAGCAGGGGGGAATTTACCTTAAATATCACATCCATGAAAAATAGCATGCTCAGTATTTGTTATATTAGAAACTAGAATTTACACTTCTAAAATGCTGATGTATACAATGTTTCTGGTAGCAAAAGTTTTGTTATTGCACTCACTGGAGCACTTAGTAAATATCTAAGAAAGCTATGATGGGTACAGAAAGTGCATCACTGGAGTGTGTAAGGCAATGTAACTGAACTTACTAAGCTTCACCTTTTATTAAAAGGGTTTTTTTCCTGATGAGGGAAGGCTTTGTGGTCTCATTTCCTGGCAAATTGTGCTTTGAGAAAGGTATGTAAGAAAGTATGCTTTAGAAGTGGACAATGTGAAATTCAGGTAGGAGTTTTAAAACCAAAAGCGCTTATTCAACTTGTTGTAGCTGAGTTGTGTAAGTCACTGCCACATGACACTGTGAAGGCCAAAAAAAAGTTCAGAAAAAGAACTGAACCAAATGCATAGACTGCAGTTTGGTCAGTGGTTATTCTTGTTCCTAGCTCTGTTCTGTGCTTCTGAGGTTCTTAATCCTTTGATATGATAAAAGCTAGGGTGAGTTGCTGGGAGAATGTGTTCCCCTTCTGTTGCTTCTTAACTCATCTTTCAAGTGGCCAATAATGGCAGGCCTTCTTAGGTCATTAACCCTTCACTTGCAGTTTTAAACTAGACCAGAAAGCTTTACTTGAGAATTTTTTTTTTCCTAAGTTATAGGTCTATTATCCTGACTTCAGTATCCAAACAGTTGTTTGAGAAAGTAAATCAGCTCACAGTTATTAATGCTTAACGCATGTTTTCTAGTCATTGCTTACAATAAGCTGCATCCTTTTTCATGCAGGAGACGTATGAGAATATTCCGGGTCAGTCCAAGATCACCTTCCTCCTACAAGCAATCAGGAATACTGCTGCTGCTGAGGAGGTATGTCTCAATCTTCGAGTTCTGCAGTTCTCCAAAGGAACTTGGAAGAGGAGGGAAGACATGGAAGACATCAATTACAGTCATTTGGGGATAAATGAAGTAATAAATTAATGCCAAATGAAGTTTGGCATTAATTGAATCAGCTTAATTTACTGCACACTTCTAACCAGAGTTCACTAGCTCAGGCTTCATGTGGGATACTTAGTTTAAAGAGTAGTCTTTCACTGACTGCTTAGACCTCCCTTGTTTTCTGGTTTTGTATTTTGTTTAATAAGTGAGTTAAGCATGTAACAAATACCTGAGTGTTACTGTGATGTTCCTTTGAGTTACAGTTGAGAAACACTTTCCATTTTCAGGTTCTGTGCCTAAATGCGATAAACTTTGCTTACGTATCGTCTGAAAAGTCTTGTGCTTCTTAAATTAGAATGGGGTGAGATAAAGTAGCAGCTGATTTTTGTATGTTTTATTCAGATGACTTCTGTATTTTGCCTTATCTGGAGAGGATATGCTCATCAAGTCTTCCAGCAGTGCTAGAGAACGAATGGTTGGCAGTGCAAGCACTAACATAGTTGTAGGTTTTTTGATAGTAATATACTAACTGTGGCTTCTGATTATTCTTTAATTATGTGAAAGCTCACATGCTGCTACAATCAGGTAGTTCTTGTGGTGAAAGTAGATAAACAGAGCGAAGCACCGCTAAGCTTTGAAGATATTGCAAACTTAAAAGTAAGTTAAAAATCTTGGACTACTTTTTCTTCGTGTGTAGAGTTTTACTGGGCAGCAGAAGGATGTACCATGTAGGATTTCTGAATGATATTGTAAGGAAACTGTACCAGCACTGTTCCTTTCTGGATAATGATCGTTTCTGGTAGATAGCCATCAGTTTCAAGGTAGACTGTATTTGTGCTTTTTGATGCACAGAGGGTATCAGCTTACTAATACTGATGCTTATCTACACACAAAGCCATATTCATCTGACAGCCCTTCAGTATTATACTAGCAACTGGTTGCAGAAAAGCTGACTAGTTTTCCATCCTGCTGCTCTGAGATGTTTCTGATGACAAAGTAGTAGAGCGATCTGTCCTGTATTTAAATTTGCATGG